TCTATGCTGGTTTCCCTGCTGCATTGTTTTTCCCGCTGGACTCCCACAAATATGATCCTTCATAATCTTTTCAAAGACCTTTCAAAGAATGGAGGTGAGACTGTCCTATAGTTACTTGGATCTTCCTTCCTCCCCTTCTTGAAAATAGGGACCACGCTGGCCCTTTTCCAGTCCTCCGGGACCTGACCCAAACGCCATGAGCGCTCGAACAGCCGTGCCAGTGGCTCTGCTATGACACCGGCCAATTCCTTCAGTACTCTCAGATGCAACTCATCCAGGCCTTTTGACTTGACCACATCCAGTCCATCCAAGTGACACTGCACCAAGTTGGCATCAGCAGTTGGTGGGTTGATGTCTCTCTGATGCCCATCTAAGACTCCATTAAGAGACTTATCTTGAGCCTTGTTCAGGAACACCGAGGCAAAAAACTCATTGAATAGCTCAGGCTTGTCCCCCCCCCCCCGTCTGTCACTAATTGCTCCTCCTTGTTCAGTAGGGGTCCTATGCTGCCCTGTGCCTTCCTTTTACTCTCCTACATACCTAAAAAAAAAAGACTTTATTGTCTTTAATTTGTGCTGCTAGCCTTGGCTCTGTAGTTGCTTTGGCTTTTCTAACTGCCTCCCTGCAAGTGTGGGCCAAGTAGATATACTCCGCCTTGGTATACTCCCCTGCTTCCACTGCCTATATGCCGCCTTTTTTGCCCTTAGGCTCCCCTGAATTTCCGTGTTTAGCCAAGGAAGTTTTCTGGCTCCTTTTCCCTGTACTGGGATAGTCTCCCTGTGTGCCTGAAAGATAGCTTCCTTTAGGAACGACCACCCTTCCTGGACTCCCATCTCACCAATACTCTTATCCTGCACTGCATTGTTGACTAGACTCCTGAGCACACTGAAGTTAGCCTTCCTAAAGTCAAGCACTTTCACCCTACTAGTTATCTTACCATATGGGAATTCAGTTGATTGGTGGTCACTGTCCCCAAGGTGACCACTAATCTGCAGCTCCCCTACCAGGTCCTCCCCTGTAGCCAACACCAAGCCCAGTAAGGCGTTCCCCCTAGTGGGACTGTATACCTTGAGGAGTGGGAGTGAGGAGCACCAGCATGGCCTGAGGGGGCAGGGGACAGTGGGTTGGGAGTGAGGGGCACTGGCAGGGCTAGGGGGCTGTGGATTGGGACTGGCTATCGATCTTTACAAATGGGTCCTGATACAGAAAAGGTTGAGAACCACTAGTCTAGTGTACTTACCTAGGGGTCACGGGAACAGATGTTTTAAATACCCTCTACTAAAGGGAATTTAAGTCTGTTACTTGCATACTAGTAGCATGACCTAACAGCAGTTCAGGGAGTCATTCTCATTTGTTTACTCTACTTCTGGCAATTTGTATAAAAATGGAAAAATTGGAACAGGTCCAAAAAGTTCAGAGGACCTTGCCCTGCACCCATAACTTAATTAGTACATTTCCCTGAGAGGTAACAGACCAAAGTTTAGCCAAGCATAGGGATTTGTGGGTGCACTACTGCACAGTAGCCTAATAATACTGTGCAGTAGCGTATTAGCACCATTTGTGCTATGACATGCTACTGCGTAGTATTATTCAGCTACTGTGCAGTTCATGTCTCGTAAGCTCACCCTGTTTCTTGGTAGCTTCATACTGAAACTCTATTTAGTCTCCTTCATTATTATTTCTCCATTCTCTCCTTGATTAGCATGAAGGCCTTATAAAAGAAATGGCTACTTTGTTTTCCTTTACCCCAACGATATGTCCTATGATGAAGCCATTGTTTTTTCCGTGTTTTCCTTAGTCCCTGCAGTTTCCAATTATATATTTTTCCCCTACAGCCACTTGAATTAAGTAACATATTTAAACCATATTTAGTTTTTCTTCTTTTTTTTTAAGTTGGTATACACAAGTATTCTTTTCAGTTGATTTTCCTGTTTCTGAAGTATGGCCTTTTCATTGCTTAGAGCTAAAAATTTCCTAAGGAGAACAATAGAGATTTCTTAATTACTAATAATAATTAGATGAGGGAAGAAATTAATTCTCCTAGTATGTAAATTGCCTGATTTGATATCTTAGTCATCTAGCAGCTAGGAATCTTATCTAAGCTATGCTCTTTCGTTTATAACCAGGCATGTTGTTGTTGACTAGTCTATTTCCAGTCCCAACTACCTTCATACTATATTATATATCCAGAAAGTTGATGCAGGCTATTTACATTCAGTGCAAAGTGAGATTTAAAAAAAAATCTATTGTATCAATTTTCCTTTATCCACATTAAATACCTGGAATGGTGCATCTATCTATATCAATTTTATAATTAGGTTAAATAGGGGAGATGTTTCACTCAATTTAAAGTTGTTCAGATAATATAACTGAAATTTTAATATTTGTATTGGATTCCACATTCTTTAATTGTAGCAGAGGCCATTTCTGTGATATGCTAATATATTTTTTCAGTCCTTGGCAGCAATGATCCTTCACAGTTGAGGATGATCACTCCCGGGGGTTAAGTAAAGAATTGTTAATGAATCCATGGATGGCTAAGAGGGCCAATCCTAGCAAACTTCTCAGTATTTATGAATTAAATGCATTTTGATTGTATCTCATGTTTTCAGCAGTTGAACTGAAAGTATCTGATCCTCAACAAACCTTTTCTCTTGCAATCTTCACTAATTCTGTCCTTATCTCATGTCCATAAAGCGCATATATGTAAATGAGAGAGCAAATCTGAGATGGTGTAATGAAAAGGAAACTCCCACAGTAGTCCTTTACATTCCCTTTTTCAAAACTGGGCATACGCTCACTTCCTTCAGCTTGCTTTTTTCGGCCCAATGTCACCAAAAACAAAGATGATATAAACTAATATGGAGTCAAGCTCATTTCCATAGTACTGCACTCCTGTTCCCAACTGGTTTCAAGTACTCTGATTACCTCTTGATTCTATTGTTTCCTCAAATCAAAAAGGTATCGCCCACAAAAATCCTGTTCCTCAAACAAGTGACTTGTGTCTAGAAAATAGTTGTCATTTGTCTTTACCACTCTTACCATTGAGCAGCTCATTAAATTGGACTCCCTCCTTTCAATAACTGCATTCTTTGAAAAATACTTAAATTATTCAGCTCACTGATATTTTGGTATTTTCCTCCATAAACTGATAGCTTTATCAAGTTCTCACAATATTAGTCCTACTTTCTTCCTTCATCAAGTCCCCATAGCTGTTGTTTATATTTCTTATTATCTTCTGCTCCCATTTTTTGATAAATTCAAATAGCCCACCTTTTAAGACTCTACCTATTTCCCTTAATTCAGACATCAATAGGGAAAGAGATGCTTCCAGGCAGTGTTATAGCCTTTTTGATATAGGGAATATGCAAGAAGCCTATTTTGTTTGGTAATATAGTCTACTGGACCAACTATGTATTTTGGAAAAGACAGAAGACAAGCTTTTGGGCACAAAATGCCCTTCCTCATCTCCAAAATGTCCTCTTCACTGTTAAAGGAAGGGGTGTGTTTTGGGTTTGTGGTGTTTTTGTGTTTGGGGGGGGAGTGGGAGGGAAATCATGACAAGCAGCCCCTTCCTTCCAAAAGAAGCTTCTACAAAGGCTACATGCAGGTATGCTTTAAAAGTAAATGAATAACAAAAGTAACTTGTAATATGCACTATGACATATTATAAACTCCCCGCAGAAGTGGTACAATCACCTACTCTGAATATCTTCAAAAAATGATTGAATGCACCCATTGCTGGGGTCATCTGACCCCATAAGTCTTTCCTGCCCAAACACAAGGGGGGCTGGACCTGATGATCTCGAGAGGTCCCTTCCAGCCCCTAGCAACTATGAATCTATGGCAGGAGTGGGTAGTTATTTTGGCTAGTGGGCCACTTAATGAGTTTTGGTGAGCTGTTGAGCTGCACATGCAAAATCCTTCTAATTGTTTGAATATATTATAGATAAAAAAACAAATCTTATACTAAAAATCAAACATCTATGACATTTTAATTTTCTTTCAAATTTTTTTGTCCTATTTGAGTTGCATATATAGAGACGATTGCGGTAAGAGCTCAAAATAAAGTCTTACTCCTGTATGTTGTGTGTGTGGGTGTAGATATGTAGGGGAGGCAGGGAGATGAGGGCAGAGACTGTCTGCATACTAGGTCCTAGGAGTAGACCAGGGGGAAGGGGCAGGGAGCATGTGCAGCAGAACTCACCTGGGTGGTGCAGTGGAGGTGCAGTCTGCCCTCCCCAGTGCTTTGCATGGGGCCTAGCCCCACTTACTCCTGCCCTGTGCCTACTGCCAGCATGCACTGCTTCCTGGTAACCAAGGTACTGCTCAGCTCCTCCTGCCCCAGCTGTACTGCTCTGGACAGCAGGTAGTGCAGGGAAGCAGCAGCAGCCATGGGCATGCCTGCTGAGTACCACAGCTCCAGCTCCTGGCTGCCCCCAGGTGACTGATCATCCTGCAGGGTGAGTGCCAGGTAGCCTGGAGCTGGAGCCCCACACACTGGGGCAGGAGCTGCCTGGTTGGGCATGTACCTGGTATGCATCCCCACAGCTGCTGCTGCTCTGTGCAGTAGGTAGGCAGGAAGAAGAGCTACTGGAGGTTGGGGTAGCTGAGCAGTACCTAGGCTGCCAGGAAGCTGTGCATGCTGGCCAGGGCTGGCAGTAGGGCGGGTGAAGGCAGGAATGGATGGGGCTTGGCCTCAAGTGGAGCACTGTGGGGACAGCTACAATCAGCAGGCTGGATCTGCCCCTTGGACCACATTTTGCCCACCCCTGTGCTATGATCTTTATGCAGCACCACAGATGAATGTAGTGCTCTAAGGTAAAAAACATCAAACCCCAGTACCTTCCATACTAGGCTACTGTCGAACCAAAATCAGCTTTAATTCAAATGGTTCTTTCCACCCCCCACACGCATATAATCTCTTCTCTCGAGCATGAGTGTATTAAAATAGTCTGATATGTAACACTTGATATAAAGTATCCAAAACAAATTGGGTATTTAAGAGAAATAAGTCTTTATTATATTCAATCATTTAATTATACAGTCATTCATAATATAAAAATCCTTGCTAAAACATTTTTTTCTTAAATGTAAACAATGACAGTTTTGTGCAATGTGTCAGCCATATGCTTAAGTAAAACAAGATGAAGGCGATGGTCACAAGACTACTGCAGTTAAGTTATACAGTAGATCTAAATGAAATGATTACTTAAAAACATAATTAAAAATATTTAATAAGGATTTTTCCTCCTTAAAAAAGGAAAATAAATAGTTGCAGTTTCTTCTTGCCATAATCTAATTTAAAACAGTAAAAAAGGACAGATAACAGTTTTCTACAAATTATTATTTTAGTCACCCAATTGTGCTATTTCATTTCTGCTTATTTTATGAAGTAATTAAACAATGTTAGTGATTGTTTTGTTCTTTTGAAACTACTTAAACTTCTGATCCTGAAATATGCAGATAAAAAGAATTCAACAAAATGTAACATTAAATGGTAAGACCACATTCTTAATCTCCTTTATTTCATACAGAGGAGTCTAAAAGTTACAGACAGTACAGCGAAAAATTTGATGGTTGGTATGGGTTGCTTTGAAAAGAAAATTTGACCTGAAAGCATCCATAGTGATCTACCAATGGGCTTCGAAACCTAGTTTAGGTCAGAAATCCAGCTTTGCCTTAACAAAATTTTGATCATCATCTTTCCCCTTTTCTCCCATCTTACATTGGGAGCTGGGTGAGTGGATGTGGGTGTGCACATGAGTATCCATTTGATGTTAATCACAAAAAAAATACATCAAAGAAACCCCTGTCTTCAAATCACATGAAACATTAGATTGTTTTAACAGAGTAGTTTCTAATACGAGAAGCAGGAGTGGTAAGTAAAATGGCAAATGTTATTTCTCACTGCATGACATGCTGTTTTTCATAGCACAAAAAAGCAGCATCTTTTCAAAAAAGTCCTAGAGAAGTAGGGCTAGAAGGAACCTCCAGAGCTCATCTAGTCTAACCCCCCCTTCATGGTATAAAGTATCTTTATATAGCCATGATATTTTGTGATTGGACCTCTGTCTCCATCAGTAGAACAGTTTCTGGGGATCCGGCACAGTTTCAAGACTAACCATAAGTGGTCCAGCACATTAGTTCAGTGTGTTTTTCAATCCCTGTACTACTTTGTTATATAAGGCATAGACTGTTTAAACTAACCCTGAAGATAGAAAAGTATTGGAAGCTCTGAAAAGTATATCCATTTGATAACACATTTCAAAAACAAGTCATTTAAAAAAAAATTGCAACATCAAGTTTGAAAAAAACAGGGCATACATTTTATTGGTAGTAAGAAAATTCCCTGTTTAATTTCTATATACACTTTTCCAGAGTTATCACTCCTGAGGTAATAAAAACAATGCAGCTTTCTGTAATTAAATTACATTTCTTACACTAGTCTGCCTAAACATCTCTCTTCAGGCACTGTTTTATTGCCATAAAAAAATCATTTTTCACATATCTTTCAAGTGTTCATAATGTAATTGATACAATGCTCTAACCTAGAAATTTAATTCCATTTGTAGTTTTATGATGTGCTAACGCCTCCATGGTCTAATCACTTTTAGAGAGGCATTTCTGTAGGTTGTTGCATGGAATGACGGGTAGATATCCCATCCAGAGTCCTGGGACTAGGTAAACTTGCTATAAAAAGAAAAAGGGGGTGGGGGTAGGAGAGAATACTTTATTAGAAGTATTCAAGAGAGGAACTGATACCTTTCTGATGGTTGTTTTTTGGACAAAAACTTCTGATAAGATTCATATGATTTGCTAAGGCTAAATTCTAAACTTTTTTTCACTAGTAGACTGAAGTGACATTCAGGATACTGTTCTTTCACATTTAAATCTAGTGGCACTCAGAAAACCTAATCAAGTCTGTATATTTACTGATTCAGTTTTGCAGGTTCTGGATTACTAGTAGTACTACTATGAACTAGGAGTAATTAAATGCTTTCTAGTGAACCCCCATTTGCAGCTTTTTAATAGTAACAGAAACTTTGCTATAGAGGAACTTTACTTCAGGAAAGACTGGTCTCATTAAGCCCCCACTATTCATTTAGGATTTTACTATGTGGTCATGGCTACTGTTCATTTTCCTTAGTCTGTCTTAATTTTTTAACCCTTGATACAATACAACTACAACATTGTATACAGTATTTGTTATACAAATTGTAGATGAGACAGACAAAACAGAAGCAAGTCATTGCAAAGAAGAGAACTGAGACAACTGTGGGAAGAAAGTACCCAGCCAACAATATGGATTTTGTATACAGGGACAGAAGTCAGTACTGCACAAGTAAAGGGTTAAGATGCACCTGAGGGTATGTCTTCCTCCGACTCCCTGTCTACTCCCACATACTTACCATGCCCCCAAATCCAGATAACAGGCACCATCTGATTTAGGGTGGCTGAAGCACAACACCTAGAAGCACAGCTTAGAGCATGAGCCTGAAAGTGGCTCTGGGTGTATGCTCAGGACCACCTACCTTGCCTAACTTCTGGGTTTGGGCATATGTTGAGCAAGATTTACAGAGATGGGGCATAGTTCTCAGCAGTGTTCTGGGGGTCACACCCCAAAGGCAATGCAAACAACTTCCACACTCCTAGGGAAAGTCCACAGGAAGCTTCCAAAACTAAGAAGTTCACTTTGTATCAAACTAATTAGTGAAGCTGCTCTATATGGATACTAGAGTGGTTCACTTGGTAATGACAGGTTTTGCTGAAAATATTGTAGGCCAGAGAGGTGAGACAAAGATTACTATAGATAAAAAGGCTGTAAAGTGAAGGCAAGAAAAACAGATAACAGCTAAAACAGTTTCAGCATATGAGGTATTGAAAATATCAACAATTTTTGCAGAAGGCTTGACAACATGATCTCTAAAACTTGTGAAGTTAAGGCACGGGAAGTAAGTTAAAGGTCAGAAACGATACAGCGGTCTTGATGATGAATGAAAGATGGATTAGAGGTAAAGCAGCTGTTAAACAGGAAAGATATAAGGGAAAAGATGTTTGTAGAATTCCATAAAGGAAAGCGATGCCCCAGATATTTTCTGATAGTACTACGGATAACATAATTAGCCAATTACTTTGCTAAGGAGATAGTACAGCGCACTATGAGATTCACTGAAAAATTCAAACTGTATTCAAGCAGTACTGAAAGTTAACTAGCAGGAACAAATGAGAAACCATATTTTTCTGCATACCTGTGCTCTCAAGTAAGACATACACCTTGTACTGGGAAAGCAGCATGACAAAAAATCTCTGGGATCTTACCTGCTAAAGCAAGGACTTGCCCATGGTTGAATGATCCACACTACGCAGTTTTAAAACTATTGCCAATTTAGCTATGATTAATATTAAACTTAAAGCTGTGCAGCTCCTGTGAGACAGACAGCAGAACTGTGCTTAAGCCCCCACCCCTGCCACATATAGCCAGAAACAGGAGAAAAGTGCAGTGCTTGGCAGCCATTTTAGCGCCTCCAGCAGTGTGGAAATACCAGCTTCCTTGCTTAAAACATGCACCTTGCCTTCAAAATTGGGGAGTATGTGATATGCAAGTAAGTAAGGTAATTATCCAACTAAACAATGACTTCTGTGCAATGGAAACTAAAACTAGTTCACTATTTCCAAAGTAGTACTCCAGAATACTATTGTATGGAAGACAAGGAAAAGTAAACTTATCAAGAAAAGAACTGAAACAAAGGGTCAGCTTAAAGAAGGCCTTACAGTGACATTAACTAGCAAGAGAGAATGAGAGCACAAGCATGAACTATCAGTCAGGATGTACTCACATAATCAGGGGGACTTATCCCACTGGACAGGGAGTTAAGGTGGTACTAGTTTAGTTATGAATTAGATGAGAAAGGGTCAAAAGAGGAAGGAGCACATTTTGTACTCCTATCCTGTGCTGTGATAAGCTAGACCAGACTATAGAGGGCAAAAAACATTTCTCAAGTCTGTCCCGGAACAGGCTGTGCTGAAAGTGTAAGGAGGAGTGGGAAGTGTTATGTTAATCACTCTTCCCTATTATTTAACCACACCTTTAGTAATTAGCAACCATTCAAATGTACCTGGCAATTGCAGCAGATATTTAAATAAGGCATGCACTAATACTTGGATAAAATCTTAAGTTATGCATTGAAGCTCCATATCTGGATGAAGTCTGGGGGGGGAGTGGGAAAACTAGAAGCACTACTACCAAGCAAGGAAAAATCTGCTATGGGCAATAGGCTACAAAGAGCTGCAGTTACAAGATTTGAAAAGTTTACTCCAAGCATTACTTGATAGAACTCTAAGCTTAGTAAGTTTGAAGATAACGACAATGGCTTCCCTTGATGATTTTTATTCATACAAACTGGATACAAGACATGCTCATATACAATAAAACCTGAACACTAGTTTGGGGTACTGCAATTTATAAGATAGCATATTCAAGGTCCATGATTCTAAAGTAACTAAAATACAAACTCTGTCTGCTCAAAGCATATTTCTCCAGAAGCTGAACATCCAGCCAAGCTTTTGGAACAATATGAAGCCACCACAGTTCACAGAGAGAGCTCCAGGGAAAAATGCTATCTAACAGCCTCTCCAGTTTCAGAAAGGGGCTAAAGATACTAGGTCAGGGGTTCCCAACCCCTGGGCCATGGTTTTGCTGGTTTGGCTGCCAGTCCGCAGGAGGGTTGGCTGTCAGACCGGAAGTGACCATGGACTGGCAAACTGTGGCTTGGAAATGACCAGCATACCACATACTAGCAGCCAACCCTACAGAGTATAAAGAAGAGTTGGCTGCCTGCCCACAGTTTGCCAGTTCTCAGCATAAAAAGGTTGGGAACCCCTGTACTAGGTCAAGATACTAGATGTGGCTAGCACAATCAGTTCAGCTGAGATGAACTGGTTGCTCTCTGAACTGACTGTTCCATGAACGGTTCCGAAGTTTCGTAGTAGTATCATAAAAAGAATAAATTCATCGTACAACAAACTATTAAAAAGTATCATATAACACTCTTCAGGATCTCTGCAAGACAAATCACATACCATTGCTGTGTAATCCCTGAATCTGATGTTCACCGGTATGTTTCCAAGTAGCAAAATTGCAAGCTGCATTTTGACTGAATATTGTATTGTAGGTTTTCACTTTATGGAAACATGGTCGCTTCTCTGGAGATTTTGCTCCCAGTAGATGACTGTCCTTACGGTTTAAACCAGGAAGCTCCTAGATGCACAAATAAAACTTTGTGATTCTTTCAAGAAAATGCTCATTTCAAGAAACTGACAGTTAATTCTCCAAAATGAAACTAATTCTAAAGACCCTACATGTTGCAGGTCATCACTGTAAAATAAATGTGCCTCACCTTCATTCTTTAGCTTAATGAAAACTAAGAGACTCATTCAGCCTACAAAATTCAGTGTTGTCCACTACGGCTGTGCGAAGCTTTGGACTGTGCTTCGGATCCGGAGAAGATTCGGATGCTTTGGTGTCTGAAGCAGCATGTCTGGATTGAAGCGCTGGCTTCTTTAGGCTTTCTGAAGCGATTCAAAGCTTCTGAACCACTTCAGAGATCAGGCTTTAGGGTATAATGGGGAAATCAATGAAATACCTATAACTTTGTTGGTTTTTGTCTGATTTGGATGAAACTTGCAGGGGTGGTAGCCTCTGCTGAGAGCATGAAGCCTGCCAAGTTTCAGCAAGATAGCTGCAGGGGTTTGGGGGAACTAGTAGCTACTAGATAAAACAAGTTAATTAGCAAGGATTAACACCTACAAAAACACAGAGTAAGGAAAGGAAATAATCAATACAGACAATCAACTGCCCCCAAGACAGTTAGTTGCGCAAGCACCCATGTCATGAGTTTTGCCTGTCAGCAGCTAGAGGTGCAGGGCCCCAGAACCCCTGCACCTATCTCCTCGACAGCTGGCAGGCTTTGCGGCTGCAGCAGAGGCTAGCAGGCCTGCAGCTTTCACCCTGCTGCGCCTTAAACACACACAGTGTCACTCAAGTCATGAGTTCTGCTTGTCTGCAGCTTGAGGTGCAGTTTCCCCCAAACCCCTGCACTTATCTCCTTGAAACTTGGCAGGCTTTGTGGCCTCAGCAGGGGCCACCATCCCTGCAGTTTTCACCCCCGTGATGTAACATAGACATGACATGAGTCTGCTTTCAAGAATTCGGGGTGCAGTTCCCCCCAAACCCCTGCACCTATCTTCTTGAAACTTGGCAGGCTTCATGCTCTCAGCAGAGGCTGCCACCCCTGCAAGTTTCATCCAAATCAGACAAAAAATAACGTTATAGATATTTCATTGATTCCCCATTATATCCTATGGCCGGATCTCCGGAGCTGCTTTGGCCAAGTTGAAGCAGGAAACCGATATGGAGCTCCAGATCGGATCCCTGGCATCTGAAGCAGCCGGATCCGAAGCCAAATCGAATAGCTGCTTATTCACATAGGCCTATTGTCCGCAGGTATTATGCTTCTAGAACACATGCACTGTATGCGAGTTAGACCCTAAACCACTGGTTCTCAATGTTTTTAAGCTCAAGACACCTCAAAAAATTCCAGCCCTTTAGTTTTCACTTGTTTTTTGACTCCAGAAAACTAGCAGAGCAATTCTTGTGTTGCAAAGAACTCAGAAAGAGCACAACAGCTCAGGATGTTTTTGACACTATGGATTCCTCTTTGAAATCTCTTGAGTTTCTTGTGCATATCTGTACACCTAACAGTGCTAATAGAATGGCACCCTGCAACACCTTGAAAGGATCTCAAGGCACCTCAGGATGCCATGGTACCCTAGTTGAGAACCGTTGCTCTATTTTTGGCCAGCAGTACATGTTGGGCCTACACCTGTGGAGTGAGCTAGAGATGACCTCAACCATAGGAAGTGGCTTACTTCAGTTTCTCAGTCCAGAATCTAGATGTTACAGGATCCCACTGCAGCAAGAGTGTATGGGTCACAGAACACATATGGTCAAAACATCTCAAAGAACCACAGTTACTGTGGGATAAGCCATCATTTTGACTTCTTTGAGTCAGTCCTTATGTAGGAAGAAAATCCTCAAAGACTATAAGATAGATGGAAAATACTAGTCTCAGGTATACTTATAATGAAAAAACTGCAATCACATAGAATCAATGAGTCGGGAGGGACCTAGACAGATCAAGTCTGACCCCCTGCCATGGGCAGAAATGAGCACGGGGGGTGGGAAGGCACGTGCAACCTGCCTTTTCCTTGGTTGGACTAAAGTGTAGGAAAGGAAATAAATTGAACCAAGTTGCTTATTTGCTTACATTGAGACAAGTGAGAGTGTTAGTATACTGCTAGAGCTGGGTAGGCAACCCTTGGCATGTGCGCCAGACTGTGGTATGCAAAGGCATTTTGCTTGGCATGCGCACCATGAGGCAGACAGTGAGGAAGTAGCTCGGCCTGTGCTGCCACAACAAGGATCAGGCCTCTCAGAGCTCCTCACCACCCACACCTGGCACACCAAAATCTTAGAAGTCAAGGTTGTGGGTGTTTTTGGCACTCTGCCCAAAAGCACTGCCCCCCTCTCCTGTACCAGAGGATTAAAAGGAGAGTACATTGGTTTGAACACATTATGTTCCCAAGGAGGAGGAAGCTCTTGGATAGGAGAAAAGCTTGAATGTAATCTTTAAGATGCTATGCTACCACAAAGCATAAGAAAACAGTATGAGACTTTAAGGGGTATCAGGGATTTGAGGACCTGATTTCATTGCCAGATATGCTCTAACAGAAACGAACAGCCCTAAGCTCTTTAGCGTTTAAAGACCATGGAAAAATAGCTGGAATCTGGCAGCCTATAAAGTGATGTTGCTCTTCTCAAACAGATAATTTCTTGGCTTTGTGCATGGGTGTGGCAAACTTCTTTTTTTTCAACTAGTATTTTCTGGACATCCGCAAAAACCAGCTCTTTCCACTGGTTGTTTGTCAGCCACCACCTACCCTCTGAGACGCAGCAAATCTGAGTTTGGCTACAGAACGTTTCTGTGGCACTTATGGGCACAAAATAATTAAGAGTTAAAATTTTTCCTCCATCCTCAGGCATCTTGACTGTGTGCGTCATGCAGTAAAACAGGGCCTTAAACAATTTGTAGCAATTAGAGTATGCTTCAGTTACTATCACATCATTAGGGAAGGAGGAAATAACTGTCAGGGCTTTTCCAAAAATGGATGCTGGATATGGAAAAATACTATTCTCTTACTTTTGTTTTGAGAAGCTCAGATTTGTTTGGAACGTCATAAGCATGTGGATCATTTTCTCTGCAACTGCTTTCAGCTCCAACAGCGTCCATAAGGCTGCTTCCACACGTCTGTGTATTATAGCCACTGTCCACCTTGAAACAAAGCTAAATATTAGAATGCTATGTACTTTATTTCAAATAAAGCTCATTTATTTCTTCTACAATATTTGATATATTTTACATTTGAACAGCACATATAGTTAATCTGAATGTGTCAGTGATTACACAACTTAACTCACCACTGAAATACAACCTGAAATGCTACATGACAGCTGTTTATCAATATACTGTAACAGTCCTAAAAGGTTTAACCTCCAGCTCAAACTTCAAGGAGATATTCAACAAATGCATCGGAAGTACACCAGAGTTGCAATAAAATTCCACTGAGCTATGACCATTAATAGCATCAGCATCTTCAGATGAATAGTGCCCCCATACCACACTGGATTAGTCTGAATCAAAACCATCTAGCTGAATTACTACCTCCCCCACCTCTAGCAAACTTGCTAAAGGTTGAACGCAGTTGATTTGGCTAGACATTAAAGATTGATTTTTTTACAAAATAAAACAAGTGTAGGCTTAACAATAAAACGGAAATATCTATTCATGAATTGTAAAGCAAAAGAAGGCCAACTGGTAACATGTTCTTTCCAATTACTAATGAATCTACTGCAACAAGAGCCAGAATGCTAGTTTTGGATTAACCTAAATTTATCAGTTAGCAAAAAAAAATGATAGTCTCTGAAGTTGTTGTATTTCTGGTCACAAGGAAAGAAAAAGAAATAGAGTCTTATATTTCAACATTCGGTCCCATTCAATAAGAGATGACAGCTTCAGAATAGGAACCAAACGTGTGAACACAAAAAGATAATTTGGGTTATAACAAAACCAGAAGAATTTTACCTGAATACTACTGCTGTCACAAGGAATTGCACTGCTTTCTGCAAGAGGTGACATGAACATGTGAGAACTTTCAATACTGAAGGTAATTCCTGTCATGAAGCTTGTCATTGGCATATTGCTATTACCAACCGTTTCCTTTACCCAAGCGTTCTCATCTGACACCTCAATTGGGTCGACCATATCTACAGTATTATTTTCCTTTGACCCTTCTATCTCCTGCAACGATGACAGTCCTTGCTCACAAGCTTCAGAGAGATCTGGTGCAATGGATACAGTGGCCACAACCAAATGTGTGCCATGGGCAAAAGTATCACCATCTTGGTGTCGTAGATTTATTGAATTTTCCATTTTTGGAAACAGGCCTTCTGCTGGTGGGGCATTTTCCTTATTATCTTCCTCTTGATTGTGATTTTCAAGTGTAATTGGTATCCTAATGAGGGAGGTCTGATATTGTGCAGTCCCTTTGCATGCTCCAAGTTTCATAGAAGAGCAATTTTTAATTGGAGAACAGCCATCTATATAAGGACTCCTAGTATTGGGAGATGTCCTCATGTTTGATTTTGATGAAGAAGGAACATCAGGAGAACGAAACATAAACTTCCTTTGTTCTGTCCGTGATAGAAATAAAAATAAACCAATCTATTAGATATTACATAGAAGAAAACCTGACATTTTCTTAACTAGAAATATGACAACTGAACTAGATGGTACACAAGGAGAGCATTATCTTCAAACAATGCTATCTCCAAAAGAAATCAATATTCCTTTTGAAAGAAAGATTCTCAAAAGTTTTACTTACCACATATTATTATTAACAAAGGTGGTTAGCCATTAGTCTGAAATTAGGTAGAAAGTAGGTCTGGGTGGCACATTAAAGACTAACAAGTTCAGAGAAGTATAGGCTTTCATATGCAGCAATTTACTTCAACAGGGACAGACATTACACATAAACTGGTTTAAGTAATCAGAAACTGCCTTAAACCTGGAAGAGAATATAAGTTCAGTGCAGATAAACCAGTTTCAAAATGGCTGAAACTGGTTTGAGATAAACCTGGTTGAATGTAGTATCAGACTTAACTGATTTGGGTCATACCAGTTTATGCAATGTCCCCTTCCAGGTTCAAGTTAAACCAGAGTCCCCCCAGAGCATCCCAGATGCTTTGCAGCCCTGGGCTGGGCTAGGCTGTGCTCTCTGCTCCAGAGAACAGGGTGGCTCCACCCCTTCTCTCCCTAGCCAGAGCTCTGTCTGGCTTCCCTCACTACTCAAGCAGGGATTCCCCACCATCCATGCTGTGGGAGCTGGAACCCAGCCCGTGGCCCTTAGGCATGTGGTATGCTAGCCAATGCTGGGGGGGAGGGGGAGTGTCCACTTTAACTGGGACAGGACAAAGGCAGACAGAACAGTGTCCACTTCGGACAGGAGTTCTCAAACTGTGGGTCATGACCCCCTGGGGGTTTGTGAGCAACTTAAAAGGGGGTTGCAAACTTCCAAGAGGATGTGCATGGCAGCGCAGGGAGGCAGTGCATGGAGTGGTGGATGGCGGCAGCAGCTGCCACATGTGAGCTCCCCATCCCCCGCCATTGCCATCCAGCACTCAGGATCACAGTATCACAAAGTTTGAGAACCCCTGACTTAGGACTTTTTCAAGCTAAAAAAAAAAAAATCAACAAGTCAGCTCGTAACGTCCCTCCTTGGAAAACACTGTTAAGAAGAGCTTGAACTCATGAGAGAGGATTTTGTTTTGCTGATGAGCTGATAAACACTGTGGTTTTATCAGACTCCTGCTGGTTTGCAGCCTTGTCAGGCTGGCAGACACAAAGAGGGAGATTGAAAAGCTCAGTACCATCAACAGATGTATGCACTGCACACTCCCTCTTTGTCTCAGAGTGCTAGCCTGGGGCTGGGGTCTGGCAACACTCCGGCCCCTTGAGCAGCAAGTTGGGGAAAAGCCAGAGACGGTGCAGGCCAGGGTAGGGGTTTAAACCCCTCATAATCAGAGCATCCTGCTGGGGCCTGGCCACACCCCACCTCAGCTCAGCACTATAGAGGGAAAGGAAGGGCTGCTCTAGTGCCCCCTGGCTTCTAGCCTGAGCCACTGCAGGCATGTGCCTGCATTTCTGGAATGAAAAGGAAATGTCTATCCACGTCCAAATCAGTTCAAGCTTTGCAGGTTAGACGAACCTGCAAAGACTGAATCAATTCAAGCTTAGGCTTTTTGAATGTCTGTCCCTAGCCCAGCAGATGCTAGGAATCAACTAGCATTCGTTGCGTTTGATGAAGTAGGTTGCTGTCTATGAAAACACACACTTCCTCTGAATTAGTCTAAGATGTCACCTTGCTCCATCAAGAAGTACATTCTACGTTATACTTCATTTTCATAGATGCAATTTAATATCCAACTCTAACTAAAGATTTGCTTTCCATGGCCTGTCTGTTACAGCACAGAGAGAATACCAAATAGCTTCCAAAATAAATTGGTCTTTGTTCAAAATGTTCTAATATAGTACAATAATACAAAATCATGTTTTTTTTTATTTTAACTATATGCATTAAATGTGTTAAAAAGAAAGCTGTAAAATATAACATACAATATATATATATTTTACAGAATATTTGGGGTAAAATAATTAACAAAACTTTTTACAATCAGGCCTAAAATTGAAGTAGCTTTGGAATCATTATACATAGATATATCAAACTATCACACAGCAAATCAGTTCTAAATCACTTACGCAAGTGGCCCGAGTCCTTCCAGAGTATAAATAACATCAAGTGCCAAATTACAAGCAATCGGGGTGTCTTATTATAATAAGCATCTCTTGGTCTCTAAATCAGTAATTTATTTCATTTCAAATCAAATCATCTTTGGGGAACCAAGCTCAAATTTAAGGGATTACTGATTAATAGTTATCATTCTAGTCCCAACTTTTAATTAAGTTACAATCCTGATTACCCATATTTGTTTTTGACATATAGCTTCAAAAGAAAGTCCCTCCTCAGATCAGATCAATCCCTCGCAGACTCTTTCCTTTCATGAGGCTTCATTATTCTTTTTTCCACAAGTTTATTTTTTGTGCTTTAAATTTATATTCAGGTTAACAGTTTTTATATTTAACATGCTTTACTTCTAAATTTAGGATTGGCCATACCAGAGGAGATCGCTAGTCTATGAGTCTGGTATCCTGTCCCTAGATGGGGACAAATTTACCACTAAAATAAAAACATTTTCAGACAAAAAAATACAAGTTACATGAAAGGAATCTGCATATACAGTTAAACTGTACCTGACAGTGGTGTCTTTCTTATCTGAAAAGCAATTGGAGAAAAAGTAGGAGAAGCAGTATTTGCAGGGGACTTCTCTGGAAATGTGGGACTGGTTATGCTCCCAAGACTATATGCCCTTGTACCTCCCTGGATAGGACTTGAGGAAAACTGACCCTTTAAAACAAAGAATAAGCATAGCATAACTTTACATTAATATACAGGTGAGAAACCGCCCCCCCCCCCCCGTTTTTTTAAAAAAGGGGGGGGGGGGGGGAAAATTTTCCCCCAGTGGCCGATTTTTTAAAAAGGGGGGGGGGGGAGGGGGGGGAAAAATTTCCCCCCCTGGTGCATTTTTTTTAAAAGAGGGGGGGGGGGGGGGAAAATTTTCCCCCCCCCCCCCCCGATCTTTGAAATACATGGCACTAGTGAGGAAATTTCTACCCCTGCTTCGCTGACGCTCACACCCTTGAACAGAGTTGCTTGAACATATATGTTCATAGCATATATATATATGTTCAAGCAACTCTGTTCAAGGGTGTGAGCATCAGTGAAGCAGGGGTAGAAATTTCCTATATATGTTCAGATTATATATATATATAAAATCTGAAAAAAGTCAATTCATAAGCCAGCCAAAAGAAATCCTTCCCCTGGAAGGGGCAGTAGAAGAAGTGTTTTCTTCTAATGCCAGGTTTCCACTAGGTGTACTTTTGCCAGTATAGCTCTACAATCCTATTTTATTGGCAGGGTTCCTAATTGTAAATACATTTTATATTAGCTAATCTACACTTCTGCCAAAATGGTTTCTCCCCCACCACCCCCATCTTCAAACTATGCTATACCAAGTGAAAAATAGTTTTCCTGGTATGACTTCTCTTGTGGCACAGCTCTGTCAGTCAAATCACTCCTTCCCACCAAAATACAGGAAACATTTGTAGTGTAAGCTTGGATTCAGTTTCAAGCTATATTTGGACATTTCAGAATAGAGCTGGACTGCTTCATTGGGAGCAAAGGAAAACAGCAAACACTTGCCATTATTTCCATAATTATGATCTTATATGCAATAGTTTTTCACATGCAGTCATCTAGTACAGTATGAACCTTGCCAGTTCATTTACAGTGAGCTTGTGTTGGACTTTCAAGATGTATTGTGTTCTGCATTTCCCAGCTCTGAAAAGATCACATGACACTAAGCATGGCAGTTTTATTGCTCAACACTGTCCTTTCCAGTGCTTTCTTTACCCTAAAGGGAAAAAACAAGGTTCATACAGGACTCAAGTCCTGAATTATTTCATGTGTGACTAACTTTTTCATGGAAGTCCAGAGTCCCTGGATAATTAGGTTTATGACAAACACATGTCAAAACCTGGTTGAGAAGTAATTTTTATTAGATTATTACACCTTTTATTGACTCTCAGAGAATTAACACCTGTTACAGAGTCAGCTACTTATTCTTTCAATTCAAAATTTAAAAAAAAGCTTCTAATCTTCATCTGAGACTTCAGATTTCTCTGAAAATCCAGGGAAGATATTTTATATTCTCAAGATTTCCAAAAAGTGGGGGATTTTTTTTCTTTCCAAACAGCAGCAGTTTTGACATACCGGATCATTTGGACCCTTCCAGAAAACAAATTTCCTGCTTTGCAGATTTGCTTTAAGTGAAAGCATCAGATTAGCTGTTTGTACTAAAGGACATTTTAAATACTAAACAGTCCTTGGATTCACATTTTTATTAAGCAATCTTCATGAATTTAGGGGGAAAAAAAGACAATGTTAATATATTCTCAACAATTAAAATACTTTTTGGATAGGGTATTCTGAACTAAATGATCCCATATCCATCACAAGATGCACATAGAATAAAATCACTTGCACACTTTCTCTTCAATATTGCTCAGATACAATCACTTCTCCACAAAGAAATATAGCTGCTTCACAATAAACACCAGATATACAACAATTCGATAGGTAGTAAAACAACAGCACAACACTGAAATTTGAAAATGAAGTTTTAGTTAGGCAGAATATCTATACCAAAGTGGAATTTGACTAGGACACTTTGGATTAACACACATCTTAGTCCAAAAATTGTAATCCAGTCTGTGAAATGTTATGAAGCACATATACTTCACTCACTTTACTTATACCAGCTAAATCAGTATGTACACAAAGAAAACGAACAAACTTCTTACTGAGCTAGATGTTTCTAGAGGGCTTCTGCACCGGACTGGAGATATATCTATTGAACAGAGCACTCCAAGTGATGGTGGCTGATTATTACATGGACTTTGCAAAGAAGGGGATAAACACTCAGATACACTTCCATTCTCCTCTAAAAATAATTTTCTTCTAAGTGATGAGGAACTAAGGTTTTCCTGAGACTGATCTGCAAATTCTTCAGTCTTAAAATAGTCCCCTAAAGATTAAAAAAAAAAAAAAAAAAAGTTTAATCAAGCCACCCAGTTTCACCTGTCTTCAGAAAAAGAATGCAAAAAAGAAGCCAGGACCCTACCTATAAACATCCCAGAACAACCAGTTTTAAAAAAACTGAAACTGTCAAAATACTGAAGGGACTACAAGACAACAGACAAGCAATGTAATAAAAACAAGTAAACTTCTCCCCTATAGTCACAGTTTTATGAAAATGTTATAACATTATTTTTCCTGTCTACAGAGGTTGAGCCAAAGAGATTAATTCAGTTCAGCCACATGTGTTAAGCTGTTTAGGCTTTGAGAACAACTGCCACTTTGAAACACCAAGATTTAGAGAAATCCAGGGTTCCAAATCATTCCAAGCAATCTCTTATTCCTCTTCCCTAGCTACCTCTCCCAAACTATGACAAAGTATTTAAGGTTATTGCACATTCTAGACACTTCAAAGATGAACAGACAGAAAGCAGCCAACAAAAAGCATGCAACTCCTTCAAAGGGAAGGATGAAAAATATCTGGGTAATTAAATAGTAATTTAGGATGTAGCCAATATTGCAAAGCAGAGAGCAAGTCAGATAAAGTTCAAAAGCCATATTCTTAAACTACATCAGGAACAGAAAATGGTCTCGAAGTGGAGAGCTCCTGTTCTCCCCTAAAAGGAGAGAGGAGAATAAATAAATCTATCCACTGAAGAGCAGAGATAATCTTGTTAACTGGCTGCCCTAAATCAAGTGATAGCTGGAATCTCCTCAACTTCCATCATTTAGGAGGCAGAGAGTAAGGAATGTGGCATGTGTGGTCCCTAAAGGACACTTCTGGTAAAAAAACAAAAATCCAAAAAAAACAACCTAACTCCTATAAAGAGGATGCATGAACTGCGATTTGCATGGCAAGAACATCTAAAGTACAAGTTACTGTAAAAGTAACTAACCTCTCTACTGAGAAATAGAAACAGTATTTCTGTTACTGTAAGCATATATCATTTGTAACCCTTTCGCTACCGTGCCTCCACCTGGCTGAACCATGTTCAGTTAAGATGAAAGATGCCACAAGACAAACCAAAGAAATGTTATCTTCCCTAAAATACTGGTACTCTGTATAACTGTTCAAAAGTAATTTATACACCAGCTTTCCAATAGACTATTCCTCTATTTCTAAACATCAAGCAAGAGATTTTCATTTTACACACTACTCATTAAAATTCAGTATGTGACATACCTAATATTTTTTCTAAGTTAAAGTCCACAGGCAAAGACAATACTGTTTGACAAGCAGCTGCAGGGAACAAAAACAGAATTAGCTTAGAGAATATTAAATCATTTATCTTGGTAAATTGCTTACAGTTGAAAATTACTTAAAAGTTAGAGTGAAAGCTTTACATAAATTAAGATAAAACAATCAACGTGAGAGCTCCCTGAACTAGCAATACTAAATACCGGAAAAAGCACATTCAGACCCAAAGGTAGGTGAGGACGTTACCATGCCTAGCCTTTCCTATTTGGAAGCAAAGACTTTGAGAAAAGGGGGTTAAAGACAAAAGGAAAATGGAATGATCTACAGAAGGCCTTGGGGGGGATTTCATGCAAAAATGGATGAAACACTTTAAAATGTTCCCCTTATATATCTTTCCAGAAAGAAGGAGAAAAAAAAGAATTCTTCAGTCTCATTTGATACGATCTAAGCACATTACTCTGCAAACAAATCACTTTGAAGGAAAATTGGACTAAGTTTAAAAACTGCTCGACTATACTCAAAACATTTCTATGAACAATGCTACAGAAAGATTCTGTAGCTTAACACAAGGCTCTTAGCCTAGTAGACACTTCTTCCCTTCTAAAAAAAGGTAGCAAAAGACCTTTTTACGCAATACAAGTCAGTCAGTTTGCAATTTGAGTTTCAAAGAACAAGCAAGCATACTCCAACATGCTTACTCCTATAGAAAAAGTAACACAACTATCTAACTGTATCAAAGTCAAATACTTTTTTTTTAAGGAAAAAAAAAAAGTACAGTTAACATTAAAAAAGGCTTATTTATGATTATCTGTTCATTTTTCATTTCATACCAACCATTGTTTTTTCCAGATTGCACAGTTAACTGTCTTCCGATTGGTGAAATGTTGCTTAGATCTATACCTGAAAAATAACATTGCAAAAGTAACAAACAAATGAGAAATCAGTTTCAGCTTAAGGTCAAACTTTTTACAATTCTGAAACATAATAGCAGTATTGTAAAAATATAGTGGGCAACTGCATTGAGGAATTTCTCAAAAATGCTTCGTGTATTTACAGAGTTTTTGGTTGTAGTCGTGTTGGTCTTAAGGACATAGGCAGGCAAGGTTCTTTGAGTAGATGTGATATCTTTTATTAGAACGGGTAGGTAATTATTTTGGGCAGAGGGCCGCTTACCCAGTTTTGGCAGGCTGTCAAGGGCTGCATGGGTAGACCCACCCCTTGACAGGTGCCCCGCTCCCTGGTTACCGTCCTGGGACCAATGTCCCAATATCTTGGGACCAATGTCTCAAGGCCAACACTGGTGGGGGTCTGTGGAGCCAGGCTGGGCTGCACCAGCAGGAAGAGGGTGGAGCTGGCCCAGCTCCACAGAGCCCCTCCCAGCTGGGACCCCGCGCTCCTGCCACCAGAACACCAGTGTAGGCCTCTGGCTCCTGCACCCACTCACACCCAGTGTCCCCCAGCCCCGCGATACAGGTGGGGGACAGCGCACAGCCCCGACCCCCTGCTCGCCGGCAGGGAAGAAGGTAGTACTGAGCACGGGGAAAAGCGGCGCCTCACCCGCCCCATGGCCAGCCCTCCCTGCTGCAGGAGCTCACAGCCCATGCAGGGCTGTCTGGAGCAGGCACAGGCAGCCCCACACGCATTGCAAGCAGCTACAGTGTGGGGCACCGGCCATGGTGCGAGCGAGGGAGGGGCCGCTTTTCCCAGCGCTCAGCTTGTAACCCAGCCCTGGGCTCCAAGTTGGCTCTGAGCTTGCCCAGTGGCAGCAGCTGCGGCCTCCCCATTTGCTGCGCCAGGCAGTGTTGGCTGCTGCTGCCCACCTGGAGCTCACACACTGAGCAGCCCAGAGACGGCAGTGGCAAACACTTCCCAGTGCGGCAAGCAGGGGGGCTGCAGCTGCTGTCACCACGCACAGCCCCAATGGGTGAGGCCAGAGCCAGGGTGGGGCCCAGGCTGGCAGTGGGGCTGGGTTACAAGGTGATGCTGAGCGGGGGGCAGGGGGGGAAGAGGGAGAGCCAGAAGAAGGTTATAGTTATTGCTGGTCAGAAGTACTTCAGTTTCTCCATGTGAAAAAGCAGCTCCACCAAAATCAAAAGGCGTAAAATTAGACTGATTTTGAAAAAAAATTTAAAATGCATTTTTGGAAGGTAGGATTGGAAGGGGTCGTCCTCAGTCACAAAGTCCAGTCTCCTGCTACACTACAAAATCTCTGGTTAAACCTATGAACAAGGGGACTGCCCATGCCCTTGTCATTGAAACAGAAAGAATGAAGACTTTACTGAAAATATCTGACAGACCAGAAACTAAAAGAGTATGGTTAGAATCAAATTCATAGTAATGTGAGAGGCAGTGGGCAAAACCTACTTCAAACGCAAAATTTACATTCCCCACAAACTCAGGTTGTCAGTAATTCCCCAACTCCCACAAGGCTTCCTAAAACTGAAACATACATGCATTCATTGTGCAAAACAACTACAGCTGATAAAGACAGTGGTAGAAGATCTCAAAATGTATTCTAGCAGATACTTTTCAAAATGTATGTGCGCACACATGCACACTGTACCTCCCCTCCCCAAACCCCACTTACATTTAGTTGAATGAAACTGGGAAACTTGCTTCCCTTCAGGATCAGTCCAAGGAGAGGGAACTATAAGCCTTTTGGTGAAAAACTAGAGGGGGAAATGAAACAAAAATCATACATTCTCCCAAACCAAATTGGGATTTTATAGATTCATACCTCAACCAAATAAGATACATGTCTTAAATTTGAGTTATGCACGTTATTTAAAAACCTCAGTTTTTCTTGAAACAAATGATAGTTCTCAGTCATGTTTTTAATAGCCTTCACTGAGGTAAAGTCCAAGGTAACCTACTTATTTAATGAATATGATACAACACATCTTACGAGCGTTCCAGCTACTGAATAAGGGGGAAGCACTACCATCATCTCTAACAGTCACATTTTAAAAGAAAAGAGTAATCCATTGCCAGTTTTTTGAAAGAAAGGTTCTAAGCAGCTACCTTCTGCTGCGGACTCAGGATCATGACTTTCAAGTGTGAGTAAAGCAGCTAGTTAAGCCCTGAAAAGCAGCTAGATTTAACAGTCAGACCAAGCATCAGCATTTTCTACAGGCCAACTTAGGCTGCTCCCTGGTCAACATGATGGTGTTCGTAAATCCTACTTAGAAGCATCTAGCTATTCCCCATGCACTGCAATACAGAGCCTAATTTAGGATGACATGTTTGTGAGAAGTTTCCATAACTAGAAATCTTTCTGGGAGACGGAGGATACAGGCATTCAGTCTGCAGCTACTTGCCCCACTTCTACTCCTACTGCTCTCCACACCTTCACTAGATCAGCATGATCCCAGTCTGGGGAAGCCATGGGAACCAGCAGCAGTTCAATCTTCATGGTCCCCAAGAGGACTCAAGCCACAAGGAAAGATTCCTTGCACCTTCTCCAGACCAGGTATCTGGAAGAGCAAGGAGCAGTAGGGCAAACCACCCAACCCATTCAGTCTGGGAAAAATGGAGGGAGCATTGTCGTACTGGCAAAAGAGCTTCTCTTGCAAAGAAGATCATTTAAGTGTTGACCTAGTTTTTCCTGGGACATATTTCCTAAAGGAAAAATTAAAAGTTTGTATGTTCATAGTTTCTCCTGAGAGAGCAGGAATTGTCCCCATAGAAATATAACACCTGTACATGGCCTATGTAATCCAGACATGTCAAAATAAAATACTGCAACACGGTCTCACGGGTTTGGGCTTAAGTGAATAGCAGATTTTCCTAATGAGATATACGACATCAAGGGCTTGCTTCATCTCAGACCATTACTACATGGCGCAAGTCCAACATCTCATTGTCTTCTGAACCTTTACACAAAAGTATTTTTAACTTGGAAATGCATTAAGATGTCTCAAATAAGGCAGGCAAAGATATCACCTCCTCTCTTTTTCTTCTTTGCGCATTAAGTTTTGATAATCAGCATCACCAATCTTAAGTTTATATGACTTGTTGCACACAAAAACATCTTTTTTAAAAAAAAAAAAGTTTGTTTCTGTGTCACTCCATGAAGGTTTTCCTTTTCTTTTAAATGTTCTCAATCTAAATGATATGGGCATAAAAGTGTACAACTAGAGGCATACTGTGTCTCTATTGCTGTGGCACCTCTCATTAGACCCAAGACACTCCTCAGAATATGCCAGTTCTTGGTTTTCACTTGTTTTTTGATTATGGAAATTAATAAAACAATTCTTCAATTACAAAGAACTCCAAAAGACCACAACCATTTTTGACACTATGAATTCCTATTTGAAATCTATGGAGTTATGTATAGGTGCTTGTTTCTATACACAATAAGGCTGCGCAGAACACCCGTGTTTCGTTTCAGTTTTGGCATTTTGGAGGAACAGCGTTTCGAATCAGTGTCCCATTTCATTTCAGCCGAAACTGTTTTGGAGCTGTTTTGGAATTTCGATGGTATTTTGGTGTTTCGGCCATAGGCTATAATGGGGAATCATAAAACTGCCCGTAACTTTGTCATTTTTAGCTTGATTCGGATTAAACTTGCAGGGATGCTAGCTCCTTCTGAGGCGATGAAGCCTGCTAAGTTTCAAGGAGATAGGTGCAGGGGTTTCTGGGAAACTGCACCTCAAGCTGTTCAAAGCAAAACTAGTATCCCTTGCCAGCAGCATGCTGTCATCCCACATGCAGATTCAGGGGCCCGCTCCCCCCAGGAGTCTGGCACAGCCTCGCAGCCCTCCTGGGGGTTGTGGCCCCCTGGATCTGTGTGCGGGATAACAGCAGGCTACCACTGCCAGCTGGAGCCAGCACCAGCACTGGGTTCTTCCCAGCACTCAGCACAGGCTGCCCTGGGCAGACTCGAGTGCTCGTGCTGGCCCCAGCTGGCAGCAACAGCATGCTGTCAACCACATGGCCCGTAGCCAGTGAGTGAGGAGCTTTAAAAAAAAGCCCTGCACTTACTGGCTCTGGCAGCGGTGACTGGGGCCTGAGGGCTTGTGGCAGAGCCCCTGCCCTGCGCAGTGTGGGGCAGTGGGGTATCGCCACCCCTACCTCACCTGGCATCCACACCATCACCATCACGTGGGTGCAACGCAGCTCAGCAGGGCGCTGCACACTGCCTAGGAGCTGGGGTGGATCAACCTGTCAGATGG